ACTCAAAGCGCTTTACAGGTAATGGGGACTCCCCTCCACCACCACCAATGTGCAGCATCCACCTGGATGAGGATCCAAATCAGTGTTTCTCAAACACAGTCCTCTTTTACGTCTGCTGCAACTGAGTGCTTAATTAACTGAATTACTTTCTTAATTACTGTATATCTTTTTTAGCTGATTTCTGGACTCAGTCCATCATATCAGAAATACTCATTTGAATGCATATTTTGACCAAGACAGAAAGCAAACAACACTCTCCTGCCCGTTTTCTGTTTAATAAAGGTTTGCTCCCCTACAGTTCTCTAAACAGCTCTTAATCATCTGCCAATTATTAATCTATAAACACAAGCGGGAATTACACTGTTTCAGACACTCCCCTATTTAGCATTTCTAGATCTAGATACAATTAGCACTAATTAAAAATTAAATGATTTCAAATTCAAATCTCCCTATTTGTAGGCACACAACATTTGTTATAGTACATACTGTATTCTGCAATTGAATTTTTGGATTTTAAATACCCCAGGCAGCAATTATGTTTAGCTAACCTTAAAATACTCTCCAAATAAAACAAAAACTAAGAGTATCTTCATAATTTTAATTGATCTATTCTGAATTTGTTAGGGTTCCTGATACAAATTAGACCTCGAGGACAGCACATTATTCATTTCAGGGGAAGACTCTGTGAAAATTATGCATTAATTAGCAGAAAGTGACAGAAAATATAATATGGGGAACTACAAAATATAAGGGATAAAAAATACACACCTTTATTAGAAAATAGTTGGCTCTGCATTCTCTGTTGATAAAAAAGGCATTCATTTGTCAATATTTTCTATTTCCTAGTGAGCACTGCAAACACCAGCTTTTAATTATTTTTCAATAATAATTGAAGAAATAAGTTAAACATCTTAGTGAAAATTATTTTTAAAGCAAAAGCAATTCTACATTACCTGTGTTACACTACACATTAGTAACATGCTTGAGAAAAGTAGATTTGGTGCAAAAGCTAGTAGCCTATGAAAAATTTCTTTTTTTACAACACTTCATGGAACTGAGTGAAAAATGCCAGAATGTGTCAGCCAGAAGAATTTTATCAGGCTGCTAATAATGTCACAGGAAATCATTTCCTGTATTCTGTCTGGTTTCAGAAATAACCCACGTAATGCATTATTTTTCATTTTTTTCACATTTGCTTGGTTTAACCCCCCCAAATTGTTCTTCCTTCATCCACATGAAATACAACTCACCCCCTTTCTAAAAGTTACTAAGCCAAGCCAATCTGATAGCTTTTCTTATTAACTCATGTAAGGGATAATCTGTAATTTATTTAAAAACTGCATTTAATAAAAAAAACTAAAGATCTCGGAAACGGTGCTTTATCTTTCGATATCTGTAAATATGTCATGGGTATCAAAAGAAACAATTGTTATATTTACTATATGCAAATGTTTTTGAAACAAATACAGATTTTGTGTACTGCTTAAATGTTTTTGATTTTTTTTAACTATTCAGGTGGATATCCGCAAGCATGGAGCAGAAACTATACATAGACCTTTTACAAAAAGACCAGTTGATGATGGAGAGGCCCAAGTAGGATGATCTGAGCAGGAATGTCTAGTCATTACAGAACTTGTACTGATGGAAAACATTTGGGATCTCACTAGATTCTTTCCTCATGTAACAGTATTCCAGGTCATACAATACACATACTATGTTAAAAACCTGTTTCCCTTGCAAATCCCCATACAGAAAAAAAATCTTCAAATGTTAAAACTGTCACTGACTTAAAAACAATCTCATAAGGTTTTTAAAATAGCAATCAAAAGAGGTGAGTGATCAATTTAAGCAATACAATGTATTCCCCTGCAGACACTATTTAAAAAATCTGTTGCATTATTGTATTGTATATAATACTGTATTAAATGTGTGAATAATCCACAAGAGGATATAATTGTATACTTTTAAACATGGAATATACTACTGCATCTTTCTCTTACTCATGATCAGTTCAGATGTTAGAAATACAAAGCATCCCATGTGTAACCAGAGGCAGTTTATCATTTTTTACAGCATGAAATCGTAACTCAAATTTCATTTTCGGCAGCAAAGGTATGTAGGCTGTACCATCAACAGACAAAGATAAACCGCAAGGAGCATATCCGAATCTTTTAAAGATGATTTCATGAAACGTAAGAAAACACATCTATTATTTATGTACAGCTCTTAAAAAAGAGAAATGCGGAGATATGGTTCTGCAAAAACAGCATTAAAGAACCTTGTGAATCCCTGGCATAAATGTTTTATTTTGTAATTGAAAGTCATTACAGTATGTGCAACTTGCTACAGGTTTCCGAGTACGAAAACACTGAAGTTAATTCTGTCGGGTGAACTCTGAAGTTAGGTCAGATGTTGAGTGAATGCTGAACACACTGAAATTACTTTCAATGTGGAGGATGTATACAGTATAGAGTACATATGTGTATTTCAAAGTACTTCATGTACCTAGTAAAACACTTGTGTTTGAAGCCACATACACTTATGTTAATACCTTCCTGAGGCTGGTTTTAGTTAAATTCACATAACTGCGTAGGTTATGTCAGAGTTCAAGCCCGTGATCATTATAGGATTTTGAAACTTGAGATGGATCTAGCACATTCCAACACAAAATGTTATGATTGCAAACCATTTTTGTAGATAAAATGAAACAACTCTTATATACTACATGGCGGATTTACAAATAATAAAAAGCCATTTCTAATGTTAACTTGCATTAACAAGTGAATCTGGCGACTGAAAGTACTGGAATCCAACAGGGCATAAACCCATTTGTCTGTGCAAATGTGAGTTCATTAGTGCGACAGTGGGCAGCACATTTGGTGTATCAATTAGTGTTACACCCTCAGAACTCTTGGGTCTTGATTTCAGTTCTGGATTAGGGAGCAATCTGCAAGGAGCTTGCATATTCTCTTCTCCACGTCCATTTTCCTCCAGATGCTCCAGTTTCTTCCCACAGTCCAAGGGCAGGGTGTCAAGGTTAATCAGTGTCTTTAATTTGCCCCCATTGTGTATGAACCAAGTGACGGACAGGCATTTCTTCCAGGGTTCGGTCCCCACTTTGCATTCTGTGCCTGCCAGGCTAACCTCTAATTCACTGCAACCTTTTAGAGCCATTATTGAAAATGGGTGGACGCGTAATAGCTACCGTATAGTCAAATTATTGACAAACAATGAAAGCATTTGCATTTTAATCTCATGAATGTTTTATGCTTCATGCTTGTTTGCCTTGGCTAACAAAATAGAATACAAGCACATTCATACATTCCTTGGAAAAGGTAGTTTCACTAGGCAGTGAAAGAGTGATTTGTCATCTTTTTACGAGACTATTAAGTTGAGTTGATTGAGTTGTTGTCTTTTCAGTTTTTCGTATTCACAGCAAGATTTTAGGGTACTGTAGAATATTTAGCTTTTTTAACACAAATAATGTTGTTTTAAAAAAATGCAAAGATCTAAACTAGGCGCACTGGCATGATGGGTTTTATTTTATTCATAAGAGTTGTGTAAATATGTGCTCAGTACAGCTTACATTCTGTAAATACCATTATTTCATGAAAATGTTCATTCCGGCAGAACAGGTTATTCATTAGACCACATTATTGCTTTTCATTTTACCTCCCTGAAAAAAAAATGGAATAAAATTAAGTCACGTACAGTACTTCAAGAGAAATCTGCCACCATTATGATTAATAGGTTCATAAAATATAACTACTACTAATTTTAAGATCCGTAATATTTTATTTAACACTTTATAAAAGGTTTAAGACCAAAGAAGTATTAGAACTCCTAAGTGGCTGAACTAGTAAAGGCGTTCACTCGCACGCAGGTTGAGCTCTACAATCACAGGTTCTTGCAGGCATGGTTTAATCAGTAATGTGTCTCTTCCAATTAGTGCTGAACCTATGGTACGGGGCTGTGGTATCTTTGATAAGTGGCTCAAAGGTGGGTAGGCTACAGGCATCTGCCTATAACTCCTCATTCTCCTTCACAGGGTTTGCCTTGAGCCTTGAGTAAGTGAAAAACAGAATTGGTTTTGGTTAGTGTGTCTGCACATTTCTATGGATTTTTAAAGTGGCACCACCAGAAATGTTAGGAGAAGCTACTTTATTTTCCCAGTTACAGTAAGTTAATAAGGGGGTAATGCAGCATATTGGGTAAATCTATGGTCTTATAGCTGGTGAGCTGTGGGCTAAAGTCCCC